GGCTTGCATAGCTATTAGTATGCATTTTATGCGTAGCAGTGAGAGACATATATATTTATAATTATATTTAGTAATCTTATTAGCTTTTAGGCAGATATATAGAATTTTTTTTAATCTTAGTAATTTTGCAATCATACGGAAATCTCTATTAACATTAAATCAAAACAATATATATTGCCAGCATATCAGTTTTACTACAACCAGTTGGAACATTTTTCTTTGAAATCGCAACTGTTCTACAAGGTATAATTTTTATAGTTTTCATTTAGCTGTAACTCTCAAAATAAAACTAAAAATCCGAAGTTTGGTAATCGCACTTATAATTTAAAGTGTTATAAAGTACTTAAAGCTCTTATCGTTTTATGACCATATTCACTTTCTATGCTTCAGCCAAGACGGACGAAATATATTTCACAAAGTAGCAAAATTCTGAAAAGGAAATAGTTTGAAGCCTAAGATATACATACATATATATGTACGTATTTGTGTACATACTCACCTCTATATATTATATACCTGGGTGGGTAATAGATAGATTATCTGACAGCTTGACAGGCATGGACGTTTCAGTCTCGCGCTATTTACGTTTTGTATACAATTGTTAAAAATCGTACGAATATCACCAGATTTCGTTGGCCATTCTTGAGAGTACCATATATGTAAGATATATAAGTTCTATATGAGTTCTATATGAAACTCCAATTTGAATAAAATATATTTTTAGTTCATATAACAACGAAGAGTTCTTTCTGCTCTATTAATGTTCATAGAATATTATTATTGTTAAATTTTTCGCCAACATTTGTTTGGCTCATGCTTAAGAAATATTTGCTTATCTCTTCGAGCATTTCACTCTGTCAAAGGAAAGTATTTATGACCGTTATTTTCGTGAGTGATATAGCTAAGCTGCCTTGAAACGTTGATCCATATAGATAACAACTTATTTTTAAAACTTTCTATATATACATATGTATGTATAAATAAACATATAACAATTTATATATGTATATTCATATATGAGATAGCTGCTCCAGTAGCAACCAATTAAAAGAGTCTATCAATCAAAATTCTGTGCAATTTATTGATTTCTTTGATTGATTATACATATGTACGTGGGCAATAATCAATTATAAATGTAGTTGATCCAAATCTGAATATACTTTAATCTAACACTACAGAAATTTATTTGCAAATTAATATCAAGTTGAGTTTTGTCAAAAATCGAATCAAAAGGAACTGAAGCTCTCACTGTCTACGTGAACAGCGAATTTCCGGAATCACTCGCCTCACTCATCAACCTAACTGATTAAAGTCCAATCGATCATTTATGACAGTAATTTAGGGACTTTGGCTATCGCATGAGTAACCCTTATTGGCACTCTATTTCACAAATATGTCCACAATATTTTTTTTTTTTTTTTTGGTTTATTATACCTTAGTTATCTAGTTGCGGGGGAAACACATGGCCTACATTATTTATTACTACAGCTTATTAGTTTCAATTTTGGTAAACGTGGCACGTTCTCAACTATTACACACACACACATGCACACATCATCATCATATTGGGCTATGCTAATTTGGGCACAGCTTGAACAAGAACACAGACGGCGCTGGGCTGCTTTCTTAATTTCGAATGAGACAATGTGAGTGCCTAGGCGAAATGTCGTCGAAAACGAAAATCAAATTTATGGTCTTAACAAGCGCTGTCAAAATGCGAGAATTAAGTGCCAATGCGAGAAGCCCAGACAGAGACAGGCACCAAGACAGAGACAGACAGATAGGCAGTCAGGCAGCCAAAAATGCATCCAGCTGCTGCTGCTCCCCAGCTCCCGCTACCGCTCCTGCTCCTGCTACGAAACCCGTCTGCTGCTACTGGTGCTGCTCGACATTTGCATCTCGCATATAAATCGCATTAGGAGCACGCAATTACAGAGTTTCGAACATGGAGCAGCACGTGGTTACGCCTAGGCACAGGCAGCTGTGCATCTTTCAGACTGCAGCACAACGATTCCACGCTTAATTGAAGGTAAAATTATGCACGTGCTACGTGTGTGTGCTTGTGTGTGTGTGTGAGTGTGGCACAGATTTGCGGCCCTGACACGGCACTAAACAAGCATTGTCCAAGCTTCATTTGGCCAGCCAGCCCCACTTGAGATAAGGAAAAAGCAAAGCAAGCTTATCGCACTGCGAGTGGGCCGCAAATAAAAATAAAACAAGAGAAACTACTTAAAGGCGATTATTGCTAATATATGAACTTTAATTTACGCAATGTCAGATGCGCATTGTAAATACATGGCAAGTAAAGGTTAATAATAATTATAATAATAATAACGGCAGGCACTTGGATGGGTTGGGTGGATGAGGCACAATAATATCACATTGATCTAATACTTTAAGACGAATAATACAGAGTGTAGGCCAAGTTTTGACAGCTCATATCAAAATGGGGCACTTGTACATGATGTTGATCTTGTCCTTATCCTTGTCGCTCAGGCGCAGGCGCTGTCCGATCACAGCTGTCGGGTCGAGCGGCACAATCGTGTCCTTGCCGTTGATGGAGAAGGCGCCGGGACGATAGTGCAAGCAGCTATTGTAGTCGTAGCCCATATCGAAGTCGGTGACGACCTTATCCGAGTACTTTTTGAAATTGAACTCCTTGCCGGGCACGATGTTCTCCGCGATGACCTCGATGTAGTCGTCGCGCAGCGCCGAGCTCTGCTCGTGGTAGAAGCCCAGCGCATGCATCAGCTCGTGCAGCACGGTGCCGGGCCTGAAGCAGCCCTCGCCGATGGGATATATCTCCAGGTTCATTTGCTGCTGTCCGCCGAGGTAGCCCACGGCCGTGTAGCAGCCGCCGGGCTGAGCCGTAATGCTCACATAGTCCACATCCAGCTCGTTGGCCTCACGGAAGCGTATGCAGCTCGTCTCCTCGATCGTCTGCATGCCCTTCAGAATGGCCTGCCTGTGGGCGGCATCGAAGTCTGTGGAGATGCTGTACACGACCAGATTGCCGGGCCAACGTCTTGTGGTATCCAATAGACCGTTGCGGCCCATGGGGCCATGCTCCAGCTCCTGCCGCTGTCTCTCTGTCAACTGCATGTCTCCCTCCGCATATCCCGCCGACTCCTCGGGATCGGCCCGAAGCTTCCAGGGCAGCGGCATGCCCCCGCACCGCAGCAGCCGAACGGACAGCAATAACAGAAGCACTGCTCGATGGGATTGCATCTTGTTCGCGACGTTGCTAAATTCTAACTGACGCATGAGCGTCGCTTCCACTGGGCATAAATATGCGACAATCACAAGTTGGGTCCGATGATTAGATACAGGCAATTGATTGCGCTTAGATAATGCCGCTGGTCACCTCTAGAGGCGGGCTTAACGAAATCGCCAATGCGATTGCCCAGATTTCGAGAGGGTTTCCCCTGACTTTACATAATAAATTATGGATTGTTGCAGGGCATGTGTTCAGAAAATGCTTTCATTTGTAATGGCTTTAATTTATTCGTTTAATAAATCAATTTAAAGTGAAAAATATATTTCAGAGACCCAAAAAATGTCACAGACAACCATATTTGAAGATATAAGAATCAATTAAGGAATGGACTCTCTCTCTCTCTCTCTCTCTTTAATGTATCAAGCGATAGTTCCATTAAGTTATATTGACTTAAGTCGGAAATACTCTCTAGCAAATCATTTATGGGATAGTCTAAGGTTAAGATCATACCAAGCTTACTCTTCTTCTTTCAAGAACTAACCCCGTACCTGTTGGCGCCTAGGCAGCTCATGATTATTAATGCAAATAGTCGTCTTTTCATTGCTCACCCACTCTCCTGCCTACGTCACTTGCAAATGAGCATTATCAATGCTGTGGGCTAATTGAAATGGTATCTTTATTATCAATGGTCTGATTGGATTTTCAAGTGCTCGACAAGCTGAAATAGATATTTGAATTGACTTACTGCACACTGAACAAGATGAGTAATTGCGACGCATGCTTCTGTTATAGTCCAAGTTTCAGATACGAAAACACGCGTAATCGCCCAACTGAACAAGCGAACGATTGTCTTGAATGACCGCTTATCAGCAGCACTTACACGGCTATAAGCGAGCGTGATAGAGAACAGTAGAGAGAGGGGGACGGTAAGGACCAACAAGCTGCTCAGGCTCTTAGAGTGTTTCTCGCGCATTTTGTAGAACGAGAGACGGCGACATTATAAGAAATGACGACACCTTTCCTCACACAAATCCAAAGTTCTATTTTGAGCTTATCGTCCAAATTCGGTTTCGAGATTTCTTAACTCGCTCTTCATAAAGATAGTAGAAAGTGTCATAGTGATTAAAAGCTGTAAACATATTTTAAAAGTAGTTTGATAGCAATTTCATGTTATCTCTGTTATACTCATTTATTGCTAATTTTTGTTGGGCAAATGAAGCACCCTGTGCTCAGACGGAGTTGCATTCTTTTAGGAGCCATCATGAAAAAGAGATCTTTATGCTTTCAGGTTTGTTTAGTTGGTAGAAAATACACAATATACATATGTATAGATAGATCTTCATACTACATAGTTTGTATATGGCTAGCTCATTGGCAGTCGCTTGTCGAAGGCAAGGCGAACGTATTCATCACGATCAACCGAGCTCTGCTGATGATAGAGGCACAGTGGGTTTTAGGCAAGCCGGTCTGATGTTTATGTATTATTACTGAATTACAATGCAATATTAGACAGTCCGATTAGGCTATCTGATATCACCTTCGCTATAGCCTGCTGTCGACTCCGGATCGACTTCTGTGCGAACTGCAGGTGCTGGAGCAAGTGCATTTGCTTCATTATCACGGAACAGCAAAAGGATTAAGCATCGTATTATCAAGTGCTGCCTCATGCTTGTTAAACGGTCTTAGTGGAAATTTAATGACAGCGTAATTTATCTTTATCGCAAATGCTCACAATATACACATATGCATAGGGAATAGATTTTATCTTATCAGCAGCATTGAGCAGAGGTAAGAATTTTTAATTGTACAACGACTCACAATTTTCTTGGACAAGCTTTTCTCGGGCAGTTGTACATATTATTTAACTTGTTAATATCGGCCTCGCTCATTTGAAGTCGCTGCCCCATTATTAGCTCGGCGCCCTCGACCAGCGGCACAATGGTCTGTTTGCCATTCTTCGAGAATGCCGTGGAGGTGTAGTGCATGACGCTGCCGTAGTCGTACTCCTCGTCAAAATCGTCCACTGTCTCTTTGTCATACTTGTTGAAGTTTCTCTCTTTACCCTCTTGGACGTTCTCCTTGTTGATGTGAACGTATTCATCACGATTCCATGTGCTTTGCTGATGGTAGAAGCCCAAGGCGTGCAAAAACTCATGCACAATGCTGCCTAGACGGAAGCATCCAGTGTCCAGCGCATAATTCTGTAAATTCAACTGCTGTACGCGGTTTCGGTAACCCACGTAGGAGAAGCAACCGCCTGGCTCCGAGGTGACATTAACATAGTAAGGCTGATCGCTGGCGGCTTCCTTGAAGATGATGCATGAATTCGCCTCGATAATGCGAATGCCGCGAAGAATGTAATTACGATGTTCCTGGTCTGGAAAAGGGAATACAAATTACAATAGAATTCATGAATAGGAACTTAACGATCTTACCAATGTAGCTATTTATAAAATAGTAAACAATGCGATTGGGCCAGCGATACGTTTTTTGGATCAATCCGTTTCTGTCCTCGTTCAGAATCATATCGCCCTCGGTATAGCCAGCCGTCAGCTCGGGATCAAGTTCAACAGCAGCTGCCGGTGCTTCAGGTGCTGCCGGTGCTGCGCAGCAGCTCTTCATCAACACAAGGATTATAAGTATTTTAAGAGAGCTCCACATGTTCTCAACTGGATGCATTGGTAGCGACTGTTTTGATATTTTTCCCACGCCTTTATAAATAGACCGAGAACATCAGTAACTCTTCATTTATTTATGGCATTCATAAAGCAATTCGCAATTTACAACTAATTTTTACTTGGAAATAGCATAATCTAATCGAAAATGAATTGCGTCTAAGACTCGGACACAGGCTTAATCATGTATGTTGTAGAAAGCGTTTATGATCATTGTAAAGTACTTAATGCTATAATATTTTTAAGTTTACCTCAGATTATCCATAGCTGTATTATTGAATGGATACGGCACAGTAGAAGTAAGCAAAATTGTATCTCTTCGATCTCAGAAAATATATGAGTGTTAGGGAATTCGGGGTTATTTTATGTATATAAACGTTTCTGAAACTCTAGTATCAATACTGTTTTATTTATAGTTTGTTTTTTATTTTCATAATGCAATTTTTATGGTTTCTTAGCGAAATGAAAACATCTGTCCCATTCACATATTCGTATCCAAATCAAAGTTCTATTTTGAGCTTATCATTCAAATTCAACTACTAGAGTTAGCTATTGTAGATAGGTAGATAACGATTTCATATTAACTCAGATTTTTATACTCACTTATTACTAATTTTTTTTGGTAAAATGAAACACCCTGTGCTCTACCGCAGCTGCATTCTTTTAGGAGTCTTCATGATACAGAGATCGTCCATGCTTTCAGGATTGTTTAGTTGGTAGAAAATATAGCTAATGGATAACACATCACATATATATATATAGAACTTTACACCTTATAGCTTATATATCTGCACTATACTTGCTGGGGGCATTTGTACATGATGTTCAATTTATTAATGTCCCGCTGGCTCATTTGCAGTCGCTGACCCATTTGCTTCTCGGCGCCCTCTTTGAAGGGGACAATAGTCATGCCGCCGTTCTTGGAGAAGCCGTAGGGCGAGTAGTGCAGCACGCTACCATAGTCGTACTCCTGGTCGAAGTTATCCACTGTATCGATGTCGAACTTGTCGAAGTTGTGCTCCTTGCCTTCCTGAATATTTTCGTAGGCGATGCGAACGTATTCATCACGATCCGCCGAGCTCTGCTCATGATAGAAGCCCAGAGCATGCAGCATTTCGTGCATTATGGTGCCCATGCGATAGCAGCCCTCGTCCAGGGGATAATTCTGCAGATTCATTTGCTGCACACGATTTTGGAAGCCAACAGCTGTAAAGCAGCCGCCCGGCTCCGAGGTTATGTTCACGTAGTATTTCTGGTCCTTGACGGCTTCCTTGAAGGTCAGACAGGAACTGGCCTCGATTTTTCGCAAGCCGACAAGTATTTGCTCGCGATGTGGCGGATCTGAGTTATGATGTTGATTTATTATTACTGACTCAACAACGCCTGATAAAGCGGCACCTACCGATGTTGCTGTTAATGTAATAGTAGACAGTCCGATTGGGCCAGCGATAGCTATCTGGGCGCAGTCCATTTCGCTGCTCTGCACTGATAATCATATCACCTTCGCTATAGCCAGCTGTCAACTCCGGGTCGACTTCTGTGCGAACTGCAGGTGCTGGTGCAGGTGCAGGTGCTGCACTGATATCAACTGACAGCAGAAGGATTAAGCGGATTACTATCAAGAACTGCCTCATGTTGCTCACGCTCGCTGAGCGGACTTGGGTGGAATGAATAACAGAGGCAACGATTTCACTCGCAGAGCTTCACTCGCATTGGAATTTGATAACCTCGTAATTTATCTTTATAGCGAATATTTACAATGTGTATTTAGTGCATAGGCCACAGTTGGATTTAATCTAATCAGTTCGATTCGATTTGACCATATGAATTTGACTAGCAGCAGACTATGGAACCCGCGCAGACTTCATTCTCGTACGTCTCTCCCAACTAGTTACTTCGCATTCGAAATGAAACACGATTCTTGATCAATTTAGCTTATGTAATTCTGAAACAGCTCAAACCTTCCTGGGACACCTATACATGGTATTCAATTTATTAATATCGGCATCGCTCATTCGAAGTCGCTGTCCCATGAATTCCTCGACGCCCTCGACCAGCGGCACAATTGTCATTTTGTCATTCTTCGAGAATGCCTTGGAGTTGTAGTGCATGACGCTGCCGAAGTCGTACTCCTCGTCGAAATTGTCCACTGTTTCCTTGTCGTACTTGTTAAAGTTGTGCTCCATGCCGTCTTGGATGTTCTCCTCGTCGATGCGAACGTATTCATCACGATTCCACGTGCTTTGCTGATGGTAGAAGCCCAGCGCGTGCAAAAACTCATGCACAATCGTACCCAAGCGGAAGCATCCGGTGTCTAGCGCATAGTTCTGCAAATTCAACTGCTGTACGCGGTTTCGGTAGCCCACGTAGGAGTAGCAACCGCCTGGCTCCGAGGTGACATTCACATAGTAAGGCTGATCGCTGGTGGCTTCCTTGAAGGTAAGGCACGAATTCGCCTCGAGAATGCGAATGCCGCGAAGAATATGATTACGATGTTCCTGATCTGGAAAAGTGGATAAAAATTAATGATTGACAATAAAAATCATCTGTAATAACTTCAAGAAAAATCTTACCAATGTAGCTATTTATGAAATAGTAGACAATGTGATTGGGCCAGCGATAAGTTTCATTGATCATTCCATTTCTGTCATCGTTCAGGATCATATCGCCCTCGGTATAGCCAGCCGTCAGCTCAGGATCGGTTTCCACGCGAGCTGAAGAGGCTGCAGGAGCTGCAGAGCAGCTTTTCATCAGCACAAGTAAAAGAAGTATTTTAGGAAAACTCCTCATGTTGACAGCTGAATGCATTGGTAGCGACTGTTGCGACAGTTTATTTGCTCACCACTTGAGAAGTATGTTTTGCACATCATTAATAGCGCCTCATTTATGACATTCATTAAGTAATTCGAAATTTACAACTCATTATTATGAGCAGGGGCTTATCTAATCGAGAATCAAATGGCATTTAAGACTCGCACAGTGGCTTAGACGTGCTGGAGAAACGTGTATAATTATTTTGAAGTATCCACAAACAAATATAAGTTTGCAATTATCTATATGAATATTTCAAAATATTCTTAGAGTTTTAAAAACTTGACATATGTTTATTTTGGACAGAATTTGTTTTCATATTATACATACATATAAAACTTTATTTTGATCAAAACGACAAGCTAAGTCCATGAGGCTCATGTTTCTCTGGCTGCCCGGAAATATCATTTATCCCGAACTGAAGTTTGTATGGGAAACTATGGCCTAAAATGTATCAACCTATAAATCTATTGCATGTTAGTCTAGTTTTCTTTAGTATTATATTTTATTATTATTGTTTTTCTTTTTTTTTAATTTTATTTTTATGTTTTTGTAATCCAATCAAAAATTAATGAAGCTTCGCTTCTGATTTTCGTGAAGTTTTTTGTTTATTTTAAACTTCATGTTTTTGAGTGGCTCAAATTTATTTTTTATTATATTCATTTGCTATTATTTATTTTCTATCCAGTAACAAACATAATTTCTGCATAGAGTTTTCGATTTGAAATAAAATTATTCCATCCAAATAAAATTCAATTGGCTAAAACGCAGCTCTCTTTAACTTTCAAATGTTGCTTTAATTTTGCATACCTTTATTGTTGTTGCTTTGTCATGTTTTCTTAAGGCGATTTAACGTTGAAGCTAAAGGGCCTAATCCACATCCGGTCGCACGAAATCCAAAATTCGATTTTCCAGCAGGAACCCACAACAACCCGAAAACCCCACTCATGTGCAACTATTTACATCGCACTTACACGCATTCGAAATATAACAAAGTTCTTAATCCATTTAGCTGATGTAATTGTGCAATGACTCAAACTTTTCCGTAACACTTATACATAGCATTCAATTTTCTAATATCAGCCATACTCAATGCTACTCGGTTTCCAATTAACTTCTCGTAGCCCGCGATCAACGGCACAATGGTCGGCTTGCCATTCTTGGAGAATGCATCTGACTTGTAGTGCATGATGCTGCCGTAGTCATATTCCTCGCCGAAATTGTCCACTTTGTCTTTGCTGTACTTGCCGAAGTTGGGTATCGTGTCCTCTATTATGTTCTCCACGTTGATGTGAACGTATTCATCACGATTCCAAGTACTTTGCTGATGTAGGAATCCTAAGGCATGCAAAAACTCATGCATAATAGTGCCCGGACGAAAGCAGCCAGGCTGAGATTTATCCAAATTCAGTCGTTGTATACCCTTTCGGAAGCCCATCTCGGAGCTACAGCCCACGCCGTCCGAGGTGACATTTATATAGTAAGGCTGGTCGCGGGTGGCCTCCTTGAAGAGGAGACAGGAATTCGCCTGGAGAGTCTTAATGCCACGAAGAATGAGGTTACGATGTTCCTGATCTGGAAAAGGCAATACAAATTACAATGCAATTCATGAACTTGACAATAAAACTCACCAAAGTCGCTATTGATATAGTAGTAGACAATGCGGTTAGGCCAGCGTAAAGTTTCATCGATCCATCCATTTTTGCCCTCGTTCATGATCATATCGCCCTCGACATAGCCACCTATCAACTCCGGATCGGTTTCATCAATAACTGCAGGTACTCCAGATGTCGCCGGTGCTGCAGTGCAGCTCTTCATCAATACAAGGATTAGAAGTATTTTAGGAAAGCTCCACATGTTCTCAACCGTAGGCATTAGTAGTGACTGTTGCGACACTTCTCCTCATGCCTTTTATAAGTGGTGTTAGAAAGTCAATTTCAATAAGCTTTTTGGGAATTTGCAACTAATTTTCATTTAGACTTTT